CAGGTCGGGTGGGGCTCAGCAGGTCGGGTGGGGCTCAGCAGGTCGGGATGAGGCTCAGGTGCTGAGACCGAGGCAACACAGCCACTCAGTCAGACCACCGACGTCGATCGCTGCACCACAGCTAGTCACGGGAGCGGAGCAAGCGACCTGGTTTCTCAGTCCCTATGCTTTGAGAAGGTGATTGAAGACAGTGTTAGTTTTATGTGTTTTTATTTGTTTTGTATAGACTGGGAGGGTGTGGCGTTGTGCCGAAACTGAAGAGGTAATTATGTGAATCCATAGGGAGTGTGACCTCCGAAGTCGGGTGGTTTGGAGTGTCATTCCTAGTTGATGGAGCCACCCTCGGGAGCAACGAAAAGATGTCATGTGAGGATTGGACAATGGTTTGGGTCAGCCCCCCCGGTTGCTTCAGAATGGAAAACGGAAGGGGGGCCGACCCTGAACATCCTCAAGAAGCCCCTCTATCGATTTTGTCCATCACTCGTTGGTCCGCATGGATCATGTGTTTCGTTCGGTGCCACCGTGTTCCTATCCCAATCGACCCTTGGCGCAGATCGGCTGCGCCAGGATCGCGATTTGTGGGAGGCTTTGGCGAAGGCGGGGCCGCCGACCCCGGAGGCCTCCGGCACCGGCGCACGAGCGTCTCGCCAGGCGCGCGTCACGCGGGTGGACGACGTGGAGAGCGAGTCTCGCCAAGCCGAGCACAAGGAGGTGGGGCCAAGAAACACGGCGCGAAGGCCCGTGACTTCAGTGGCAGGTGCAATAGGATCAATAGCAGATAATAGCAGCACCTGAAGCATCCTTTGTAGCACTTATTTCTGGCGAACCATGGTTTGGAGCACTTATTGGAAGTTTGAGCGTTAATTGAGGGTATGTACACTTTTCAGGACATATGAGCGCTTTTTGGTGATGTAAATTCTAAAGCCTACTGGTTCCTGACCAGTGTCCTTATCAACCCTTGTGGGCCTTTGGGGGCCCTATGTACCGGGTGGAAATCCTATATGACCTCCTACTAGTAGTATGTGCAAATGAAACCACAAAGGTTTGGTTTCAACCTTCTGGGCGTGCTTTACAACAATTTTTCCAAGAAGGGTGCCCGCAACTTGGGCGCAAATTCCCGCAACCCGGGCGCAATTTTAAAAAGTGGTGGATTGTTAATTTACTTACTGTAAATATTTTATATTGATACTGATGATCAAAGAAAGGGGTTGCTGGCGGCCGCTTCGTAGTGTGTGAGCGTGTGTTGTGTGTGCATGGGATGGGTGCCAGCATGTGGCAGGGGAATGGACTTGAAGACCACATAAGGTGGAATGAAGCTACATTTGACTTTCCAGTGGTACGCTTTTTCAAGGCATGAACACTTTTTTTGATGATGTGCAGTTTTTTTCTGTCACTTTTTTTCTGCTACGACGGAGGGTTCAGGCATTGTGTAGGTGGCATTAGTGGCACCGAGAAGAAGAAGAAGAACAAGAAGAATAATAAGAAGAAGTTCAAGTCCTACTAGTGAACATTTTCCCCGCTCGGGATTCGTCGTAATATAAAGTCTTGTGCTTTTGCAATCTTTTATGCACGGTGCGGCAAGGGGGTGGACTTTTACAGAGAAACTGCTATAGGGCAAGGCATTGGATTTTGAATAGGTCCACGAATTACTGATGTACTGCTCATGGGCCCTCATATGGAGGGGTCGGACCCTCATATGGAGGGGTCTGGGGTCTCAAATCCCTAGGTTTCGAGGGACCAAGGGCTGTTTGGATCGTTTGGGTTGACTTTTATAGATAAACTGCCAAAAAGGCCAAGGAAGGAGATTTCGAGGTCCACAAATTACTGATTGAAAAAATCCGGATCCATCCGCGCAGAGTCAGCACCGCCACCGCCACCGGGGTGTGCCGTGGCATTCCACGGCGTCCAGGTGGAGGACTACGTGGACCCCGCGCTTTCCGGAGACCGGAGAACCGAGGTGCCACCTGGGAGCATAGGCGAACGTGAGGTCGATGTGAACGTTGCAGATGGAGCCCAATATGAAATATATCGACAGTTAATGACAGTGATATAGCTATATCGACGTTAAATATCTTTGTAACTTTGAAGGTCAAGGTTCATCGGTTCATCCTATCTTTTTGCCAAGAAGTCACCTGGCTAGACCAATCTACACAATTTTCACTGGTGGATCTCCATTCTTGGAAAAGAATGGGTATAGAGATGTTTTCCCATCAAAACGATTACCTTTAGCAACATTGGCACACCGTTCGATCGAATGGAAGTTCTTTTGCCCACTTCTGTGGCTTGCCGACATTTGTAGATGTCTCGTTGCCTTGCTTTGCCCTGCTTGTGAGCAGGTGCAAGATGGCAGAACAGACAGAAGCTGCAAAAGACGTAATACTGAAAGTTCAGATCCTATGCAACAAAGTTCCCTTTGGCATGAGAGTGAGGAACCCAGCGATTGATTGCCCCAAACCAGCTATCACAGCAAGCCATAGCAAACCGTGATTGTAACGCAGCCATGACAATGATGATTTCAGCGCTGAGGGTGAATGGCAAGGAACTTTATCTTCAAGTGACGCCAGAGACAACGGCTCGAGAGCTAAAGCAGCAGATCATGATCAAAGAAGGGCAGCTTTGAGACGTGGTCACTCGCCAAACTACCGTGGTGGAGATTGTTGTTGGAGGTCGTGTGCTTGACAATGACGAGGTGGTGGACGCAGGGCAGGCTGCAGATGCTCTTGTGACTGTTGTTTTCAAGCCAAACATCGCGAGATGCTCCAAGAAAGGTGAACTTGCCAGCTTTGGGAGTGATGTTGATTTGGACCACCCCTTTGTGGTTGAAATCCCAGGCCATAAAACTGAAATTTCAAGGCAGGCCTTCCTGGGAGCCAGAAGGTTGGCCAAACTGGTCATCCCGAACTCGGTGATCCACATTGGGGAAAATGCCTTTGATGGTTAAAGCTCCTTGGCAAGTTTGACCATCCCTGATTCAGTGACCCACATGGAGGACTATGCCTTTCGAAATTGCAGCTCCTTGGTGAACTTGACCATCCCGAACTCAGTGACCCACATTGGGCATGGTGCCTTTCGGCATTGCAGCTCTTTGGTGCACTTGACCATTCCCGACTTAGTGACGCACATTGGGGACGATGCCTTTGAGGGTTGCAGCTCCT